GGCCTGCCTGGGTCAGGCGCACCCTAGTCCTCAAGCTGACATCTCTGCTCTGCACAGGAACTCTGCAAAGTTCCTGTGCAGCAGATTTGCCCAGTGCAGTACGTCGTCTGATCTCTTGACTGCTACTTCCGCGAGTGTTGATAATTGATCCAAGAAGAATGAAGTCCTTGACAACTTCAATCTTTTCTCCATTGATATTTCTTTGTATAGCCCGCTTCATAAAGCTAGAAGAACATGCAAGCAAAGGGAGACTTCTAAAACCTCACCTACATCCCAAATCAAGATCGCTGTGAGTCTGCCCTGCTTAAGATGGCTTGGAAAGAAGAGGACACGAGAGAGCCACTGACTTTTCCTCCTAACTCTCATGGAAGAGCTGAAATTACTATCAGAAGAAACGAAATTGTACAAAGGAGCTTCAAAAAATTTGTGGAAAAATGGAACTAAAGAATAAAGGTATTTTTCTGTGAACTTTTTGAAGTTCCCACGTATGTTCTGGTCAGTAAAGATATTTAAACCAAATACATTTAAATCAGACAAAATAAACAAAAAATGTTTTTAATATTGCAATAGACAAATGTTATAATTATTTAAATTGTTTTTAGATGCATTTCTAACCATTAACTTACAGTTTAAGAAATACCCAGTACACACGTACTGAGTTTTACAAAACTTTAAATATGATAAACTCTGCTATTTAACAAAACTCCTATTTATAAAAATGCCAGTTATGATCCACCAAATTCATTTCACAATCCGCAGCTGGAAAAATGCTGATTTAAGTGAAGTTAGCATTCCTCAGGAAAAAGCTGTATCTTTAGGGGAATTCATTTGTACTGCCCACCTATTACATGTACGTGGCTCCATAAAATCAAAGACCCTTTAAAAGGAGCGAGTCTCACATACCATAATCAAGGCACCACCTAAGGAACTAAGGGAGCAACAGCAGCAGATGTACCACGAATTTCACAGTGAGCCAGCACCCTTCCTCATACTTCTCGGGAGACTCATGAATGAGATTGTCTACAGTGAAACCCAGGTCAGTTATTATCCTCCCCATGAGCTTTCACTGCAGGAGGCAAAGGCTTGCATCATTTTAAGCACTTAGAGCTTTATGTGCCCTAGCCTCCGTTTCATTCCTACAGAAAAGTAACTAGGCATTTTACAGTTGTAGCTTCCCTGTGCAGCCGATGGTTGTGCAGTGGTTATAGTGCTTGGCTGGCAACTGAATGGTAGGCAGTCCAAATCCACCAATTGCTTCCAGGGAGAAGAATGTGGCAGTCTGCTTCCATAAAGATGAGAGTCTTGGAAACCCTATGGGGCAACTCTACTGTGTCCTATTAGGGTTGCTATGATTTGGAATTGACTTGACACAGTGGGTTTGGCTTTTGGTTTTAGTTTCCTGCCTCTTGTCTTGCAAATTGAGGAAATACAGTTAATCCTCAAAACATTCAAGTGCAGAAAGAATACTGAGCTTAGCTTTCCAGAATTCTCCTAAGTCTGCTGTAAAGATTTTATAACTTAACCACTTACCTTAGGCAATGGGTAGGCAAAGGGTCCAGTGAGACCCTTTCCCCAAAGGCACTCCAATCAAGCCCCCTGCATAGCCCCAAGGCATGCGACCCTCAAGTCTTTGGAAAGGCACTTCCATTGCTTGGAAAGTTTTTGTAACAATTTTATCGAGAACTTTTCACTGAAGGTCACTGTGAAGCTGGTGGGAAGCCCTGATGTCAACAGATAATGCATCCTCATTTTAGGCTCAAGGGAGCTGGTCACCCTGAGCCTGGCATTAAGAGAGCCTGGGCGTTGTCCACCATGCTCCAGGTCAATCCTGGCTACTGGGACAGTATGTTAAGCATCTGCTAATGGAAAGTTCAGCAGTTTGAACCTACCCACTATACCAAGAGACAAAAATGTGGCTGTCTGTTCCCAATAAAGATTTACAGTCTCAAAAACCCTATGGAGCAATTCTACTCTGTCTCTAAGGTAGTCAGTGGAATCGACTTGAGGGCAAGGTTTATTTTGGTTTACCAAGTCTAAACCAAAGGTCCAGATATTGGTGAGAACTCACAAAGATACTAAAACAAGCATTTTTCATATTTAAAAAGGCCTTCAGACCAAGGGAAGCAATTAATTAGAAACAGTCCACAGGTTGTAAGAATGGTTCTTCGAACTCTAATTATACACAAACTCTTGGAGGATTTTATAGCTTGCTGGTTCTCATACTATCTTCTTTGGAACGCTAAGGGTTCCTTGGACACGCCACAGACAAGGGGAAACCCAAGTGAGTCAATCTCTGGACCCTCCACCAAAGTCACGTTGTTTTTGTTGTTAAATGCCACACACTTGGTTCTGACTCATAGCAACCATGTAGAGGGTTTCCAAGGAGCAGCTGGTAGGTAAGTCTGAACCACGCACCTTGCAGTTCAAACAACTTTTTGGTTCAATGCATTATCCTACCGTGCCACACCAGGACTCTAAAGTCTTAGTACTTCTCTCTTTTATCTGGGGGAATGACGAATGGCATCTCTCTTAAAGGATTCTCTTATTGACACTTGGAAACCACTGCCCTGGACCAATAGAGTCTATTGGTCATCACCAGGGTGACAGCCAGTGAATCATTAGCTCTTCTGGACATCATGTCCTCCAGGAGAGAGCAGCTCAACAGTACCTTGATGCCTCTCAGAAGCCCACAGTGAGCTCCTCAGAGTGGCTGTTTCCAAAGTGGATAAAACGACTGGTTGACTCAAAGTACAAACTCTTAAGTATATATATATATATATGTATATATATTTTTAATGGGACTATACAACGTCCTAGAAAATCTGCTTGATATTCAAACAAACAAACCTCAAAACCCTCAAGCCTTCAAATCCAAAATTTCTTTTTCGAATCAAAACAGTTCTCTACTGTACATGAGCTTGGAGGGGGCAGACTCTAACATGGCTTTTCTGCTGCATGCTGCCTTTCCTGCTCAACATTAGCATCCCTGGCTCTGGCATTCAGCACCAGCACCGTCACCAACAGAGACTTACCTCCTCCGCTGTGTCCTTCTCTATTCGGACAATCTTGTTTTCCCAGTAGATTCTCTGAGATTCTAGCTGGCTGGTTAGTAAATAGGAATACTATAAACAGAAGAAACAAACACCAGGATGTCAGTCACTGTTGTCTCTGAAATGCAATTAAAACAGGCTCTTTAAGGAGTCCTGGTGTGGCGCTGTAGGATAAGCACTGAATTGCTAACTGCAAATTTGGTGGTTTAAGCCACTAACTGTTTCTTGGAAACCCGATACAGGGGCTATAGTCGGAACCAACTGGACGGCACTAACAATAATCAGATTAAAGATCTAGAGAACAGTAAGTACAGTCATCAGAGTATATATGACACCCTCTTCTACTCTAAGCAGCACACGCTGGGTCAGGAGGAACACAGAGACGACAGTTCCACTCCTGAATTCCTGGCATACGGTAGCAGTTACGAATCAGGCTGCAAGGCCAGCAGTTCAAAACTACCAGCTGTTTCGCGGGAGAAAGATGAGGCTTTCTGCTCCTGTAAAGACTTATAGCCTTGGAAACCCTGTACAGGGTCACTGTAAGTCGGAACCGACTCCACGGTACATAACCACCACCACCACCAGGATCTAGCGGAGGAGAAGCAATCATTAAAAAAAACTGAATCTGTGCCGGCAGACCAGAAAAGCACAAATGTTATCACTGAAGTGCAACTCACACCAACCATTCTTCTACTCGCCCCAAGGAGGCTGTTCCCGTCCATCCTATCACTTCTTAGCTCCCCAACACCTTGTCCACCACAAACAACACTTTGGACACCACCATCTACTCATTGGTTTACCAGTGTGCCACCTTGATTAGACAGTGAATGCCTTCACAGCGAGAATCATGTTTCTATCCCATCTCCCCACTGCCTGGCACATGGTGGAAGTCAAGAAATGTTTTGCTACATGAGCACACAAATGACTGTCAGAGTTGGGTAGCTAGACGGACAGGACAGACGGCTTATGACAGTAGGATCTGGCTGGATTTCTGAAAGAAGGTAACATTTGAGAGGGCTCCTGACAAACAGGATGAGGAGTCAGAAAAGAACTCCAGGATCCAGAAGCAAGTTATGAATGATCGTTATCTGTGGAGATGACAAAGACCAGTGAGGCTCGAAGGTAGGGCATGGTGAAAAAAAGAGACACACTGGGACCGAGTGAGAAGGCTTTGAACTATTACACTGGGAAACGTTGGCAGAGGAGTCAAGCCTAAGGAGTGGCAAGTCCACAGCTGTGTTTCAGGAGACAAGAGGAGCTCTAAACATGCTACCAGGAGTACAGTGGCTCCAGACGACGAGCCCTGGACTCTGAACCACAAGGTTACTGGTTTGAGCCCACCAACCATTCAGTGGGAGAAAGATGAGGCTTCGGTTTCCATGAAGATTGAAAAAGCCTCAGAAATCCTAGACAGGGTTGCTCCGAGTTGGAACCAACTCCATGGCACTTAAGATAACAAAAAAGAACATTCTAGAGGGCTAGAGAGAGACAGAAAGCACATTAGAGAAAGCACAATTAGAAGAAGCTGGGTGCTACTGGAGTCTGTGCGCTACGAGGGAGTTCTCAGTGCTGCGTCCCCAACACCAGGAACGGGCAAGCTGACCATTAGGCACCCTCCATAGGTAGCTGTTGTTGTTGTTAAGTGCCACTGAGTCCTTTTCTACCCATAGCGACCCTGTATAGGGATTCCCAGGAAAGGCTGGTGAGTTATCCCACAGCACCTAGTGGATGAAAAACAAAATGTTACAATTAACATGGAAGAGCACTTATTCTGAAAACATAAAGGGTTTGAGCTTTCTTCCTTTCAACACAATAATTTATTAATAATAACATCAGTCTTATTTTAAGCCCTGTTGGCACAATAGGTTAAGTGTTGAGCTGCTAACCACATTTTCGGCAGTTCACACTCACCAGCCACTCCTTGGGAAAAAGATGAGGCTGGCTGCTCCCATACACATTTACAGTCTCCGAAACCCCAAGGAGCAGTTTTACTCTGCCCTATAGGGTTGCTATAGAGTCCTGGGGTGGCGCTGTGGGTTAATATGTCAGACTGCAAAGCCGTTTGAACTGCAAGGTCGGTTGTTCAAGTTCACCAGGTGCTCCTCGGAAACCCTATACAAGGTCGCTATGGGTTGGAACCGACTCAATGGCACTTCACAACAACAATACAGGGTTACTATGAGTTGGATTTGACTCAGTGCCAAAGAGTTTTTGGGTTTTATCACATCAAGAGTTCTGAGGTGAACAAGTTTTCAAATGTCCATTTTCTCCTAAGGCTAAGGTATTTGTTTTTAAAATTTCTTTTTAAGTTTCACATAAAATAGGACTCATGTTAAATTCTCCTTTCATTAACATAAAACATGAACTATTATCATCTTTGGAGAAAAATAAAATTACGTTAAATTTGGTCATTCCTCCAAGCATATGAATACTCAAAATTGCTTTGTGTCTCCCAGTCATACAATGTATACTTTTGAGCAATACTGTTGCTGTGTGTCATCAAGTTCCTATATATTCTGATGACTGTGCTGACTGTTCGTTCTATAGGCCTACAAGACAGAGCAGAGCTGCCCTCTGGGTTTTCTTAAAACTATGACCTTTTGAGAGTAGATCACTAGGTCTTTTCTACCACAGAGCCGCAGGTGGGTTTGAATCTCGGATCCTTTAGATAGCAGACAAGTGCTGCTTAACTACTGTACCACCAGAGCTCCTACTTTGAGTACATTGTTGTTAGGTGCCACCGAGTCATAGCGACCTTATACACAACAGTACCAAACACTGCCTGGTCCTGCCCATCCTCACAATTGTTACACTTGAGCTCACTGCTGCTCCAATCCATCTCATTGCAGGGGAGAGGGGGGTGCTTCTTTTTTGCTGACCCTCCATTTTACCAAGCTTAATGCCCTTCTCTCCAGGGACTGGTGCCTCCTAATAACATGTCTTAAGTTTGGTCATCCTGTCTTCTAAGGAGCATTCTGGCTGCAATTCTTCCAAGATAGATTTGTTTGTTCTTTTGGTACTTTTAATAATTTCTTCTCAAACACCATAATTCAAATTCATCAATGATTTTCTGCTCTTTCTTATTCATTGTCCAATTTCACATGCATATGAGGTTACTGAAAATATCATGGCTTGGGTCAGGTGCACCTTAGTCCTCAAACTGGTATCTTTGTTCTTGAACACTTTAAAATGGTCTTGTGCAGCAGATTTGCCTTATGCAATATGTTGTTTGACATCCTGACTGCAGCTTTTCAAGAATGTTGACTGTGGATCTAAGCAAGGTGAAGTTTTTGACAACTGAAATTTTTTCTTGAGTATATAAGCCTCAATTTATAAAATGGTAGCCCAAAATATAAAAGCTCCATGGGCATGGAATGATGCTAGTGGGTTTTCCTCATTTATACCAAGCCTGATCAATTTCCACATGCTAATGTGATGCTAGGAGTGTTGGTTTGGCACTGTAAGATAAGCAGTGGACTATTAACCACAAGGTTGGTGGTTCAAACTCACCAGCTAGTCCTTGGAAACCCTGTACAGGGTTGCTATGTGTCAGAATTAACTCAGTGACCCTTAGTAACAACAAATAAGATGTTAGGATGGTGGAGCAACACATAAGTGTTTGATTATGAAACTGAAAGGCTGGCAGTTCAAACCCCCCAGTGGCTCTGTAGGAGAAAAGATATAAAGATTATAGCCTTGAAAGCCCTAAGGGGCAGTTCTCCTTTGTCCTACAGAGTCATGATGAGTCAGCATCCCCTGGACAGCACCAACAAGTACAAGGTGATGCCACCACGAAGACTATTCTTAGCTTCTAGTATTATTGAACCTACAAATAACAAACATAATCCTGAACTTGAGACAACCTGGACCACCACACTGAAAACAGTAAAGCACAGTGAAACTTGACTTTCAAAACAGAACTTGAGAATGAAAGCATCTTAATAACCATTCGCAGCAATGGTAGAATTTAAAAAGTCTGTTCATGGCTATGTGGAAAACTTAAAAGCCCAAACAACCTGTCAAATTAGAAGAGTAAAAAAGCCTACGACCTAGAAATAGGTATTAGCGATGACTACAATAACTTACCTCTAACTGTAAGGCATCTATTTTCTCTTCCTGGCAAGTATCACCTTCACATTCATATTGTACAATTTTTCCATCTGTTTTACTTGCAACCAGTCGATGGACATAATTATCTAAAGAAAAGAATGAGTCAACCAAAAAGTTGTTTCTTCAGAATGAAAAGGGTCTCCATACGTGTTTAACTTGGACAAAACTTTTGTGTCTATAGATCGAAATTAAATGCCTTGGCAGTATTTCTTTAAAAGTGAGCTAAATCACTTGAATTTTAAAGAGAGAAAGAGAGCGAGCAAGCAAGCGGGCAAAAGTGGAAGAATGAACTTTCTTTATAGTGTGTGATTCAGGCCATTCATGGGTAAGAGTGCCCTCAGGGGCACTGTGAGAATTGGCATTTGCCACAGCTGTCAGGAAGACGAGACATTTCACACTGTGAGGGAAAGTGGAGAGTTCCGAAGGAGAAGCTGCCACACAGAATGGCTCCGAATTAGCAAGCGAGCGAGGGCGGTGTTCACCTCCAGCATAGTCCCAGACGCGATGGTTGGTGAGCTGCATGGCATATGTGTGCTGGGTTTCCTCAAAGTGCTTATAGGCATGTCGACTCACATACCGCCCACAGCCTATGTGGCCACATATTAGACAAATCCAAAGGTTCTGCCAAGAGGAAGGTGAGATCTCAATTAATTCAGTGATAATATAAGACTGGGCCCACTTAGGGTGGGGAGGGGCCTGAGACAGACTTCTTGCTGCTTCTACAAGTGTGATGAATAAAAGCATCTTTCAAGTACAACAATCAAGGACATTTTATGGGCAAATAATTTTCTTACTGATTTCTAAGGTGCTTTGTGTAAATAGTAAGAAAAGTATTCACAATTTATCAATCAAAGTCGAGGCCTTTAAAAGGAACAAAGAATAAATGGCTAAAATACTTTTCTTAGAAGTACAATTATTTGGGCATTCCTATTTCTTGCCTGATCCTAGACGAAAAAAATGACAAATTCCTGCCAGGTAAGAATCTGAAAGAATGTTAAGCCACGTTAGGCAGAAGAAGAACCCCAGACAATGGAAGCTGTGTTCATTGTGCTTTTCCTGCACCCATTACTTACTTCCTGAACACCACACTCAAAACACTTATTCTCTTCGACTGGCTCTGGCGTCTGACAGTACCGGCAAACGGGACACCTAGCAGGACACCAGAAGACAATGGTATCAATTAAATACACGAGACAGCTGTCACAGAGCCCAGCAGTCAAAGCCTGAGCTTGGCATTTCTCTTCTCTTACACGTTCTTTTTAAGTTGATTATAACTCAAAATGTCATTCAAAAGACAACACATTTTGAAATTATTCTTCAACAAAATTAAAATATGTTGGTAAAAGCAGAGGAAATGAGAAATCTTACATGGCCTCATGCCCTTTCTCTCCTTCCTAACACTTAAATAATCAAACAGCTCAATTATTTAGAGGTTAGACTGAGGGACTTGAGAAATTGTTTCATATATGGTTATCCAAAAGATGATTTCACTTCAAACCACTACCCTATCCACATTTCCCAAAGGTGTCAATCAGTCAAAAGGTGTCCTGTCCTCTAAAGGTTGTGCTTTAGAGTTGGAAATGAAGTATGTAGTAAATTTGATCAAACTTTTAAAAAGACAAACTAAAACAACTGCTACTGTACTTCCAGAAATACGCATGACATTTTATGACACAGTAAAGATACCAATACTGTATAAGCACTCAAGCTTCTGATTTATTAAAAAAAAAACAAAAAAACAAAAAACGAATAAAAATGGCACTGGAAATCCATTAATCGCTTTCTGTTATACGCAATACAAAGTAATGCTAATATTAGCCATGAATAATTTTGTCAGATGGTGCTGCAGTGGGTAAAGTGCTCGGTTGCTAACCAAAAGGTTGGGGGTTTGAACCTAATAGCTGCTCTGTGGGAAAAAGATGGGGCTGTCTGCTCCCTTAAAGATTTACAGTCTTGGAATCACTATGGGGCAGTTCTACTCTGTCCTACAGGACTGCTGTGGATCAGAATTCACTTAATGACACTGAGTCTGTATTTTGTTTCATTTTTGAGCAAAATCAATAGAAAGTGGGCTATAACTAAAGAGCTGCAGCTACCTGAATTGACACCCAGAAAAAAAATGATGCTCAAGACACAGCCAGTATCAGTTCAGTTTTTTGTCCAGTTGAGAACACTGGGTTCTTGTCACAGGTGAGGAAGTTCTATCTATATTTCCAATGAGAAGGCTATATTTCTTTTTTAAAAAAAAAAACACATCAAAAGAATAGACCATAAGCTCAAAAGATAGGCAAAGATGGCAGCTAGCAAGTGGCAAGGAATCTCGTCCAAGGTGGGGACTCTGTGTCACCCCTTCTCTGTGTCTGGTTAAGAAAACAACAAACTGAGTCTAAAATCAAATTCTCCACACAGTGCTAGTATGATCTCTCTGACACATATATCTGATCCTGAGAACAAAAAGAAGGGACCAAACTAAAAAATAAATCTATTTGCAAGATACAATTGTTGTCGTTAAGTGCCATCGAGACGACTCCGACCCATAGCGACCCTGTACAGGGTTTCCAAGGAGCAACTGGTGAGCTTGAACTGCCAATCTTGCAGTTCCAATGGCTTTGCTGTAGGGCACATTAACCCACAGCGCCACACCGGGACTCCATGATACAATTAGGACTCTAGTATATACCATCTATCTACCTGTCTCCTGGAGTCCTCAAGTGGCACTGGAGGTTAATGTGCTGGATCACAAAGTCAGTTTGAACCATAAGTTGGCAGTTCAAGCTCACCAGCCACTCCTTGAAAACCCTATACAGGCTCGCTCTGGGTTGGAACCAACTGGATGGCACTTAACAACAATAACCCTCACCTCTAAGAATAAGTCTGAATTTTTAATTTCCCAAAGAGGTTTTGGGAGAAACCCTCCCAGGATGCCCTTCCCTGACATCTCCACTGGTGGGTAAAACCACCCCTCAAGACCCAGTACCAGTGCTGGCTCTGACTGCAGCCCTCCTGGCAACTTTCATCTCTAAATCTTCCAACCTCGACCTCACGGCCTGTGTGTGATTTTACAGATTTAGTGACGGATTTCCCTGAGGAGGATCTGTGCTTAATTCTTCACCTTAAACCAAGCACTAACCCTAATCCACACATACAGGCTCAAAACCCACTTGCTAAATCAACTGTGTGCTTCTGAGTACAGATGCTAGGCCTTGCATCTTATGTACCAAATCCACTTCTGTCAAGTCAAGTCAGACTCATAGAGACCTTGTAGTTCGGTTCTGGTCCTCTGTACAGTAATCTCACCTCTCTGAGCCAACTTAAGTTTTCTCCCCTGTAAACTGAGGAGGCTAGACAAGATGGTCTCTGGAGAAATGTCCAACTTAAAAATGCTCTGGCTCTGTAAATTCACCTCTACAGAAGCTAGAATTAGAGTGACCGCAGCAGAGAAGCATCCAGAATGGTGCTGAGCACTTGACACAGCACACAACGTCTCAAAGTGGCTTTGTTCACAGCAATTTTAAACCTGGATGATTCTCTAAAGAGCTCTAGAGCTGACTGGCTGAGGACTTTTGGGGACTGAGGCATGTCTTGCCCAATGAAGTAAGCATGCTCCATGACACCAAAGTTTATGTATTTATTGTGTTCCCACTATGTCAAAGGGCTCACGCCAGTTGTAAGGAACCCAGCAGTAAACAAGGGAACATACCAATTCCCACTCTCAGAGCAGGTATTCTTCTCCCAGCGGACGATACACTTGTGAGTTGAGAAGAGATTCCTGTGACCTTCCACTCCTCAGTACTTCTGGGCTGTGGAATGTTCTTACCCTTCCCACCCTGCCTGGCATCTCCTCCACCTGGGTAACTCCTCATCTTCCTCAGCTCAAAGACCCAACGGCCACTTCTCAGACCATCCTGGCTAGGCCTCCAATTATAGCACTGCATGCCAGGACTGTCAGGGCTGCAATTTCCCATTTGATGATTTGCTTCCTCATCTTTCCTGGGGTTAGGGAAAGCTTGGTGTCTGAGTCTTAACAGTGCAGTCTGCAAAGGGAGCAACTACTCTGGATTTAAACAAACAGGGCACAGGCTGCGTCTGCACTATCTGTAGCAATGTGTCCCTCCCAACAAGGACTTGACTGAATTGCGAAGCTGACCACTACAGGTATGTACCTCTTACAAGGTGATGACTGGCCACTGTGCCATCAACAGCCTGGACAAATGGCAGCGTTAGGTTGCTGCAGTGGAAACCAACTCAAACCCACTGCTATCACCAAGTTGATTCTGACTCACAGGGACCCTTTATAGGGTTTCTAGGACTACAACTCTTCCCAGGAGCAGACAGCTTCATCTTTCTCGTGCAGAGCAGCTGGTGGATTTGAACCACTACCCTTGCAATTAGTACGGCAACACTTAACCTATTATATCACTAAGGCTCCATTTACTGCAATCCAGGTGATAAAAAAGCCAAAGGTAATGGCAGACATCGAGCAGAGGTGATAAATGAGATTTCAGGTGGAGATCTGGTTTGAACACACCAACCTCAAGGCTAGGCTGTTTGTTTTTTTCCCTTCTACTCTTGGTGCTTAGAAGGAAAGAATAACTCATATGGCTCTAGAAAATTCCTCAAGGACTCAGAGTAAGCACACTGAAAGGGACTGGTCCAAGGCTGCAGACACTGTGTAGACTGCGGAAAAAACAGGCTTTGCCATGGGACCACCACCGCATTGCGCCCATGTTTACACAGCTAACTACTTGCGATGGTTCACATCTGGTAGGGGTATCTTTCAGCCCGGGGAAGGGTAGCAATGGGCTCCGTGGAGCCTCTGCACTCACGTCGTGTCGTCCCAGCGCTGCAGACACTGGCTGTGGAAGCTGTGGTTACACAATGTGGTGAGGATGCCGTTCACAGACTCGTCCATACGCTCCAGGCACACTGTGCACTTGGGGAGCTCGGTCAGGTCCATTACCGGGAGGCTGGCACCCTACAGGGACACACCGCCTGTCAGCTGCATTCCTCATACCCCAGCTCTGAGTTCTTTTTTTCAAACAAGGGAGTGAATCCCTGTAGCTCTCTGACTACTGGCAAGGTGGTTTCAACGTTATGACTCTCTCTACATCATTTAAACTGGTAATATTTCATCCCCCTCATTCATTCACCAAATACTGACTGTGCAACCCTGTATTTCCGCTGCTATGCAGATAGTGAACAGAACAGACAAGAGCCCTGCCCTCAAGAGGCTGATATTGAGAAGAAAGACTGTTGTCAAATGTGAAGAGCTAACTAACTGTAAAATGTGACCATACTCCTTGCTCTCATGCTAAGCATCTATAGAAGAATACAAAGAAATAAAAACAGCAAACAGGAATGGTTCTGAAATATTTTTTCACAGAGTTAATGATAACTTAACACAACAGTATCTATAACACTGATTTTCTGTATTTACTCATTCAAAAATACTCGCTGAATTCCTGCTATGTGTCAGGCTGTGGTCTACATGTGCAACAAGGGTGAAGAAAACATTTCAGCCCCAAACATCTGAGGGCCTAGAGTATAGGGACAAAAATTAAATGATAAAAAAAGAAGACCACTTGTAGTTGTAAGCTACATGTGAAGCAGGGCACATCATCTGCTCCAGGTGGTCAGGAAAGACATTCCAAAGACAGCAATGTCTCACCTGACACTTAGGTGAAGCTGGGGAAGGCATCCAAGGCAGTCCCTGAGGACTAGACATTTCCAAGAACTCTCTAAAGAAGTCAAGCTCACCAAAGAAGAATTGCTCAAAGTAAGGCCTACCTAGCACAGCACTGGGCAAAAGGGAGCCCAAGTGTAGCATGCATTACATTGTATTTTACCTAATCTAAGGAGAGAACAGGGAGTGTATTTCCTCAATAGAATAAGTACTGGACTATAAACCACAAGATAGGCAATTCAAGCCTACCAGCTGCTCCAAAGGAGAAATATGAGGCTTTCTGCTCCCGCAGACTTAAAAAAAAAAAAAAAAAAGCCTCAGAAACTCTACCCAGCGTGGCTATAAGCCAGAATTGACTCATCGGCACTTAACAACAAGGACAGAGCAAAGAGTCCTGGTGGCACAACGGTCACGTACTTAGCTACGAACTGAGTTTGAACCTACCTACTGTGGCACTGTAGGATTGTTGTTAAGTGTCGTCGAGTAGGTTCTGACCCATAGCAACCCTGTATAGGGTTTCTGAGGAGCGACTGGTGAGCTTGATCCGCTGACTCTGTGGTTCAAATGACTTTGCAGTCCAACGCATTAACCCACAGCACCACACCAGGGCTGCCACTGTAGGATAAGCACTGCTAATACTAAGGTCGGCAGTTCAAATCCACCAGCCCCTCCTTGAGAACCCTAGACAGGGTCGCTGTCAGTCAGAATCAACTTGACAGTACTTCATATATCAATAGTGCTCCAGAGGAGAAAGACCTGGTGATGGGCTCCTAGGAAAGCCTGTGGGGCAGTTCTACTCTGTCATTAAAGTGTCAGAATCAACTCCTATACAACAACCACAACAACAGAACAGTCTAACCAAGACTGTATTTCCATCAAGCTGATGTAAGTAATCTAAAAATGGAAGTGAGCTGTCCGTAGACTGACTCAATGGAGCACATACTATAGGAAAGGTTTCCATGCAGGGCAGCAGCTAAGCACATTCACAAGAATTAGGAAGGGCACTAAGGATTGATATTGAAATCAAAATCAAAAACAGCTTTTTTAGCTCTAATCTGGAATACTGATCACTCAGTTTCAATAACGCAGATAGTATGTTCTGTTTCTTTTTTAGTATATTCAGAAAGTTGTGCAACCATCACTCCTAATTTTTTAACATTTCCAGCACCCCAAAAAAAGTTCTGCACTGTTTGTTAGCAGTTACTTACCACTGTCTGGTTCCCAGGCATCTGTGAATCCATTTTCTGTCTCTATGGACTGGCCTATTCTGGACATTTCCACAAATACTATTAAAACAGACACTGCATTCTGCACCATTTTGATACATTTAAATCAAATATAAAAGTCATTCCCACTTACATCTTCAGATTTCAGCACTTCAGCTCTTTCCACGTAGACCAGCTGGCAAACATCATCTTCTATGGAGTTAAACTGGCGGCCATTGCATGCCATGTAAAAACTATCTGCATCAGCCTATGTACATCAATGAAGAAAAGAAAAACTAAATTGGGAGAGATCCTTAAAAGAAACTTGCTTTATATTCAAGATGCATGGCTTCACTTATTTCTCATCAGCTTTCAAATTTTTAATTGAGGAAACACAAGCAACCGCCAAAAGGAACAAGTACAGATGCAGGTTCCCTGGTTGATTGGACTGTGCATGTCAAAAGCCTACATCTCTACCAAGCTTCCTGGGCTATGGAGGTTTCACCTGAGGCAATAAGCTGACGGCTAGTACACTTTTAATATTCAACTAGCAACAGTCAACATTTCCCTCACTATCCGTTTTCCGTCTTGAGTCAGCACTTTCACAGCAACTGAACAGTAAACACTCATTTTTTGCAAAGCTTGGCACCAAATCATAACTGATGACTGTAGGAGAAAGGCTCTTTTTACCAAAATGTCAGCACCACTGTCAGAAAAAAATAAAGGCCAGTACCACTGGCACGAGTAAAAAGCCACTCTGTCTCTTCAATAACTCGACAATAATAGTACTGTATGATAGACAGACAAGGGTCCCATCAAGTTTTAACCAAAAACCTAGTGTCCAATACTGAAAGCAAACCAGCCGAAGTCATGAGGTCCAAGGTGTTCCTATCTAGTTCTCTGGGGTTAAAGAGAGATGAAACAGTGGAAAACAGCTGGTGGTAGGTAAAACTTCAGAGACGTGAGTGCATTTGTGAATATACCCACTACCACTCATAGTGATTCCAACTCACAGTGACCCTACAGGTCTTGCATTTCTGAGACTGTAAATCTTTATGGGAGCAGACTGCCTCATCTTGCTCCTCCTGGTGGGTTTGAACCACTGACTTTCTGGTTAGCAGCACAACATTTAACCCACAGTGAATATGGACACAGGTAACTCCAATCTTCTAGGCAAGAGTTGTAGAAAGCTACAAAAAATAGTTCCACGAATTCCACATTTTGGAGGCAGCAGTTGGGAGGCCAAGGCTTGTTTGGATTTCACTCCCACCTGGGCATTAGCCCACACATAGAAGTTGTGTTTTGGTCCTACCAACCTGCCTACACAACTCCCTTCTGGGTGTATTCTGTAAAAGGACAAGTCCCATTAGCAACCACTAGGAAGGGAACCAGGTTGCATCAGATACAACAGTACTGATTCTCTACCCTCCCAGAGCTTCTCAGTCTTACAACCTCCAGAAATGTCTCAGCAGTTTGCAACTCCACTCTGATGAAATCATTCAAACGTGGATTCTTGATTATTTATGCTTTCTGAATATGAGCTAAGAGTCCTGGGGTGGCGCTACAGGATCAGCACTAGACTGCTAATTCAAACCCACCAGCAGCATCTTGAAAACCCTATAAAGAGTTGCTGAGTCGAAACCAATTCAATGGCACTTAGCAACATGACCAAGTGAGCCATGCTGCTGAGGAAGTAGTGGATTCGGAAGGTAGTTTTCACTGGGCTGACAGGTAGGGAGGGCCTGTCCTTTGGGAAACAATTTGTGTATTGCATACAGTGCATTTTCTTCATTCAAATGTTAAAAACCAGCTGCCAAATAATAATTTTTTCTGCTATAAATTTCCCTGGTGTGGAACTGTAGGATAAATACTAACCACAAGGTCAGCAATTCAACCACCAACAGCTCTTGGAAATCCTATACAGGGTTACTATGAGTTGGAATTGACTGGACGACAGACAAAATTACAAAAAAAGAGGAAACCTCAAATGGCACTCCACATATTTCAAGGGCAGTAGGTTTTTCTTGAAATGTTTTTGGCTGATAAAGCAGTTCAGTAGGCAAATGGATTCACAGACTGAAGGGACCAATTGGAAGCACCCAGGCTCCCTCAGATGAAGGCAGTACTCGACACCAGTCATAGTAGTCCTTTCTCAGGGGGTCATATTTATCAATACCAATGATATGCATGTTTCTGAAATGAGAAAATTAACCAACAGTTTCAATTCTCCAATTTGAAGCGATTGATCTCTTTTCTAAACTCCTTGGTACTAGAAATTTAACTTCATTTATTAAAACATACACTGAGCACCCCATGTGTGTCAGGCACTGCGCTATGCTTCAAGAGGACAGAACGGCACAAATTACAGAAAATGATGAAAGCCTAAAGTTTGTCTTTTATCTACAATGTTCCTACAAAAACTGAAGGAAACTCAGCTTTTGTTGTTGTTTCCTGCCTGCCAGCAGTTCCTTTATTTGTTCTCTTTTTAAGATGAACGGAGAAAAATCAAACAATCCATTATGATCCCGATTTTTTCACTGTCACTGTGATCAAGGTGAGAAGACTTACAAAAGCTCATGAAAAATTGAATGGAAAAATGTAATTTTCCCATGAACTTTTGGAAGCACCCGTGTATAGTGAAAACTTATTTTACTTCTTAAGATATGTCTCCTAGCCTGTCCAAGACATGCCAGGGAAGTTACATACTCACTTAAGAAGTTACATGCCATTTTTTGTCCCCATGAACTACAGTGAAATCTGTGAGAGGCGGAATGATGGGACAGCCTTGAATTTTCTGCCTTTGATGGGGTGCAATCTTACCACTTGTCTTGCTCCTTTTAGTGAGAAATATCTGCTATGTTTCTGCCTTGCACAAGTTCTGACTTCCGCCGGTTTACTGAACTGAACCCCACAGCTTCTGTGTGTTCTATACTTAAAAAACCAAGTTTTCTGACGGCCACAAAACAAGTCTGTAAGCACACATGTTTCTATGACCTCAAGCATAAACCTAAGACCAACAAAAAGTTAAATGATTATAAAAGATTCAGAGAAAGTCTAGAAGTTCTTAAAAAATTATCAGATGAGGAAAAGAAAGAAGAATATGGCTAGCAGGCCAGGCACTGGAGCCAAGCAGCCTAGACATGAACTCCAGCTCGGACACATTAGCCGCGCAGCTTTGGGCAAATGACTGAGCTTATATGTGCCCCAGTTTCCTCAATTATATTGTCTCATAGCATTGTTGAGAGGATACAGCGAGCTAATGCCTGAAAAGCACTTAGCACAGGGCCTGCCATCTAGTTAGGGCTCAGCAGTCAGACGCTAATACGTCTACTCTCCTAATTACAGCTCAGTATTAATGAACAAGTTCAAGCCTCACACCAGGTTAGGTAAACTATCACTGTCCTCACTACTACAAGTGATTTGATCTGAAAAGAGTTCAGGCACCACTTGCCCATTATTGGCAAAGTTCCTCAATGATCTTGGAAGGCCTTCTGATGGTCAGTGGAAAGTTTTCAAGTGCATTTCTGTTTTCCACGCCAAGATAAGAAGTCTAAGTCTACAGGAGCCGAACCCCGTTTAAATGTTCCCCTCAATGGTGGGGGAACTCAGTAAAGGATAAACAGAGAACTGCGTACACAGAGCTTCATAATAATGATCTCTTCTCTGGGACCTATGGAAGAGGCACAGATATAATCCAATTTTCATTTTTCTTTGCTTCTGCCCTCTGTCCAAAGGTTTGCAGTCTGCTCTGGATTTCTGTAGAGGAAGGAGGAGGCGGCAAGTGTAATCACATGTTCCCTTTTACCCACAAATCTTAGTGGCCAGTCAAAAAGGCCATGACTAATGGTCCAGAAGGCATGCCCAGTGTTCTGTCAATCAGCAACTTGGAACTATTTATCTAGGACAAATTCAGGAAGGCTGTTTTGAATGAAGTGAGATGAGACAGAAGTAATTTTGACCAAGCTGCACTGCATTTCAAAACCAAATGAAATCTCAATACAAAAATACAATAGGATATTTTTTTAAAAAACCAAAATGAATGAAACCTAAAGAATGGGGAGTTATTAAGAAATCATTAGGATTATTCCTAAAGCATACCTCATTTTTACATTCTTATGAAATCATATATACTCAAAAAGGATAAGTATGCAAACCCAAAAGAATACTTTTCTAAAGTATTTATAATTGAGGCTGTGGGAAAGTGCCGCTTAATGCAATAAATGAAATTCAGCATATGGCAAAATCTTCCCACTTCAAAGTATGTTACAGTGCACAAGCACTGTTAACAACTGAAAGCACCACCATTCTTTCGATGCTACTATCTTTCTGTAACAGTGATTTCCAATCAGAATTTTGAAGTATATCTAATATTTACTTGTGTGGTGCTGGAGAACAAGCACAGGACTGCAAGGTTGCTTTGAACCACATGGTCGGTGGTTCAAACTCACTAGTCACTCCTCAGAAATCCTACACAGGGACGTTTTGAGTCAGAACTGACTCGACAGCAGTTAACAACAACAATCTAATATTTCAAGGAACGTCACAAAATCCCTTGGGTCCATCAACATACTAATAGCAATAATAATATAAAAAAAAATAGACACACACAAGAGATTTATTTTTTAGATGTGCCATAGGGAAAGTAGGGGTACAAGGTGAATGTTATAATGGCGAATAATACATCATGGAATCCACAAAGTTTGGCAACTATTGCTCTTCTGGAATAGCTACTACTAAGTAAAACAAACAAACAAACTGGATTTCACACCCAAACTGATTTATAAAAAAGTGTGGGTATTATTCAATAGAAAAATGAGACTTTCTGCTCCAATAAAGATTTACAGCCTTAGAAACCCTATACAGGGTTGCTGTGAGTCGGAACCAACTCAATGGCACACAATAACGTGGGTATGATTACAAATATGGCTTGGTTAATGACTTCAGAAACACATCTACAATGAGGATACCCTAGAAGACACACACGTCCAGAATCTTAAGTGTCAAACGTGGTAAAATCACACAGAGATATTATCACAGTTTCAAAAACAGAGTTTCTGTGGCAAAGCGATTTTTAATATCTTAACTTTTACCTGTGCACTAAACTTTATCAGCACCATATATTGATTGGGAGTAGAGTCTCTGATGATTTTCATTTGTTCAATGACTTCATTAAATGGGGCGACAAACTTCATAAGGTCATGACTGGTCATTGTAGCCGGGACAGTGAGAATACACAGCAGAGCGCTGCGCCTCACATCTTCTTTTAAGGAGGTCATCTTACTAATCAGACAACAATGAGACTGTCTTGAGTAGATGAGGCATGGTTAGTTCAGCAAAACACTACTTACACAGCTTTTTTTTTATGCCCAACAGAATAGGACACAAATAAAATGTATCACAGTTCACAAGTCAAGTCAAACAGTTTACTTCACTTGAACATACACATTAGAAGGGTGAATGCCAAGTCCCTTAGATATATCCGTAATGGAGCTTGTGGTAAGCTTTAAAATGTTCTACTTTACATCCCCTGCCCCCAATTAGAATTTTAAACCCTCAGCTGAAAAGGTTTGTTATAATTATAAATAAACATTAGGAATATGCTCATTGGTTTATTTCCCATTCTCATTAGTTTATTGTCGTTGTTTTTCAATTGTGGAAAAATGGAACTGAAAGATAATAAAATTTTTCTACAAAAAACTTTTTGGAGCCCTCTCACATCTCATAAATTGTGGTTTCTACCACACTCTCATTACTTCTTGAGTAATAGGACGTCACTAGCTAACGTAGAGGCACAAGTGTAGCTACGGATTTCCCTCAAAGGGTCTAGAAACAAGCTCTAGATACTGGAAAAAGAAGCCTAATCCATGAGGCTGTGCTTCTGAAGGTACAGTATTGCTTGGTAGCATGGGTGAATCAGAGCATGCAGAAAAAGCTCCCACTTCAACAGCTGTGATCCAAAATGGCTACCTGGATCGTCACTGTTTTCCCAGTAGGGATCAGGCAAGCACGCTCAGGCAAGAATAGCCTTTAATACATCAACCACAAATCATCTAAAGAGCTGACAGCCCTGCTTGTCAATGATCTAGTCAAAGGATTCCTTCCCTGTAACCTCTAGCAGCCTTTGCTGGCACCACAGAAAAGAGCAGAAAGGCAACAAACTGTAAGCAGTTACCTGACTTGTTTGTACTTCTCTAGTAGAGATTTATTGGGAATATCAAACTACAATGATGCTATGGGTCATCTAGAATTTTTCTCTTTTATCTTCAATCCTCCAATCACCTTCCATGCCCACTGCTAAGGAAACATTCTTTGGTATCCTCCTTCAACATGTCTACGTGTATTTCTTTTCTAAGCAGTACATCTAAGACTTCTCTAACACACAAAAACATTATTCTTTTGAAACTTAAAATATCCACTTCTATTCAGGGCAAGAGACTTTTTTTCTACCCTATCAAAAAATCAACCAACCCAAAGGAAATTAAAGATTTTCTTACTTTGTCTTGTAAAGATGCATAATACCATGAACTATTTCAACTGATGGGTTTCCACTGAAGAATGAAATCTGGTCTGGAAGCTGTTTAGATGGAGAATCAGGAGCAGCGTTTATACATTCTTTACTTGGATCTCTACTTTTCTGTGCAGTGCGGGATGCTTCTGAAGACTTTTCTTCTTCCATTGTAGCTTTTAGTTCATCTTTTACAAATAAAAAATGAGCAGATTACAAACTGATAGGAAAATTTCAAGTCTGGAGGAACAAATTTACCAAAGAAAACTGTAATGTACCACAGTAAGAACTATATTCACAGACCAGTCGACTTTGGGGAGGGCATTTCAACTTGAAATCTCTCTTTGCCCTGTAAATAGCTTGTCAACTCTCAGAAACTTAGGGATGGCGCTTACAATGGGCATACACTCCCAAATGAGGTGAACACTTGGGGCAATTCGGTCTGAAACTAAACTGACCAGTTCTGACCACTGCAGCTCCAGAAAAGCAGTATACATCCAGCCCCATGGATTGACAAAGCTGGTGGGCCCTGTGGAGGAACAAGCTTATCTGGAATCACTTCGTGATCTGCCACTGATCTCTGTGCTAAGCAACTCTCTCCCACTGAACAGAGAGATGGCAGCTTGTTAGGATTCATTCAGAAGAAATACTGGACTGGAAACAAGAAGAGTGAAGAAAATCAAAGATGCTTGGAGACAGTCCACAGGGATAATGAACTTTGTGAACCTCAGCTTCCATGACTCTCAGAGCAGAAGATGTTGTCCAGCTGCCACAGCTAACCACTCTGAAAAGTGTCACAATGGGAGGTCCTATAGAGTGGATGAAAAATGTAGAACAAAATACAAAATAACAATAATTTAAAAAGGTCTAGGCTTGCTGGTTTGATAGAGACTGGTAGAATCCCAGAGACAATGACTCTTTGTCACCCTTTAAGCCACTCCGATGGCTCAACTTTTAGCTACACAACAGACAGGCCAAGAAGCTGAGCAAAACCACCAAGAAGGTAAGCACTCCCTAGAACCACCAGCCCTATGAGAACAAAGGACAGCATTTGCCTAGGGCTAAGGCGGGCTGCTAAGCTCAAGGTCAGCAGTTAGAAACTACCAGCTATTCCATGGGAGAAAGTGGAGGCTTTCTGCTCCCATAAAGATGTACAGCCTCAGAAACCCTATACAGCCTCGCTATGAGTCGGAACCGGCTCTACGGCAATACCAGCACCACCAAAACTCAGAAAGCAGGAAGTGGTGCTCTGTGCCATCAAGTCAGCACCGACTCATAGTGACCCTGGACAGGGTTTCCGAGGCTGTAAATCTTTACAGGAGCAGAAAATCTCCTCTTTCTCCTGCAAAATCGCTGGTAGTTTCAAACTAATGACCTAGTGGTTAGCAGCCCAGTTCGTAATCTACTATTCTACCAGGGCTACATTCAGAGGGAAGGAAGGAAGGGATAGGTAAGGACAAATGGAAACAGTAAACACAGAAAGGAAGTGGGAAGAATAATGTTATATTGAGGGATTTGCAATCAAGGTCATGAATCAAAATGTGTATCAATTGTTGAATGGAAAACCCATTTTTTCTGTCAATTTTCACATAAATCACAATAAATAGTTCTAAAAAAAGAAAAAGAAATATTTGGAGAAGTTGAAATGTAGTTTGATAATCTTATGGAAGGTACTCAGGCAGTGAAAGATAAAAGTATGCTAGAGGTCAAAATTATGGGCTTATTAAATAACACATACAAAACAAGTATCCAAGAGGTCATATTCCTAAAGAGTGTCTAGGGTTTTAGGAAGCATACCTGAGTTGGACTTCATGGTTTCAATGATCATATCTGTCATTTCTCGACGGCCAAGATGCTGATGGATGATTGCAGCTTTCTCCCCTGGTGACTTCCCTTCTAAACAGGCAACGGCTGAAGCTAGTGTCTTCTTTTTGATCTCCTCATCAGACATTTCCCCAGCTAAAGAAGACATCAATGATTAATGCCTGAGAAAAACTCTCCATTTTTTTTCTTCTCCATTTTTGATGGATCCATAGATTGTTGTTGATGTTAAGTGCCATCAAGTTGATTCCAACCCATAGCGACCCTGTATAGGAGTTTCAAGGAGCAGCTGGTGAGCTTGAACCACTGACGTTGCAGTTCAAATGACTTTGCAATCTGACGCATTAGCCCACAGGTCTCCTTTTTATCTCTGCTGCCTGCCCCCAAGTCTGACCCACAGAGATGTCGATATGTGGCTAACATCCATTTACTTGACTTTGAAAATGCAGAGGTAATTTTTAGCCTTTGGAAGATGCTCTGAACCCATATAGTGACATTCAGTCTTCAATTTGCACCTCCAGTTTCCCATAACATCTTCCCTAGCTGACCCAGCTCCCCTCCCCAAAACAATCCAAACAAATTCCTATGTAGTAGTCCTCCACACCGCTTTGCCTTTCCCCCTTCATCACTTCCCACAATTGGATTTCCAAGTATGTTCTCTAACTGTGTCATTCATCTGTCTCCCTCACAGAACTGCCGGTGTCACTAAAGTAGGGCCCACGCCTGACTCTGCACACAACCTCGGCTCCGGGCACCAGCAGTCAATGCATGCTTCCTGCGTGACTGCTACTTGAGGATCATTATTTGCTATCCAAGGAGCTGATTCATAGCTACATTCCTCCATGATGCTCCCAGTCTAGCTCGCCGAGTTTTAGAATCCCAGCTATACCACTAACGCTGAGCAAGTCATTTGATCACTGGGCCTCAGTTTCCCAACGTGTAAAAGGGGTATACCACCCATCTACCGTCCTGGGCTCTTGCAAAGATGATTAACAAAGAAAATGCTCATGCTCCTTAAGTGTTGAGTACAGTGGTGGGATATAGGACGTGAGAAAGATGAGGCTTTCCACTCCCGTAAAGATTTACACCCTCGGAAACCCTGTACAGGGTCGCTATGGGTCGGAACTGACTCTACGGCACTTAACAACAACAACAACAAAGTTTTAGTCGAAATAAGCACTACGGCTACAGGGCACCCTAAATGGGCATTCTTCCACACAATTTCATTAAATCCCGTTCCTGCCTTCAAGCACCCACAGGAGGGCAAGCGAGACCATTATTACACACTCGACTCTAACCAGGCGGACAGGAGACGCCGGGTAGTAGCAGAGCGCCCATGGGAGGGAAGAGGGAGCGAGGAGCCGGGTAGGAGTTTCCAGAGGTGACACAAGGTAAGGCCTCAGGAGGGATGGGATAGAACAATCCAGTTACGGCTCTGCTTCTCCCTGAGATCACAGCCTTCCGTAGCTTTGGTCCGGGTCCGTGCTTGGGGAGGGGGAGTCCTCCGGCACAAGAGCGACCTTCAGGTAACACGACGAGGCCGGGGCGGACTCACCCGCGGCGATGAAGCCGAAGCCGGCGGGAATGGGCGAGTGTTCCGCGAGCTCCAGTCGGATGACAACCAGTGACACACTCATAGGGCAAGTGCTGGCCGCCGCAGGCCCCGGCGGGCTCAGGTGGGGCTGAGGGGCGAGCCGAGAGGCCGAGCGGCCCGGGGACGGCAACGCCGCCACCGCCTCAGCGCCGCTGCCGCCGCCACAGCAGCAGCAGCTCCTCGCGCGTCCCTTCGAGCCACAACCTCTTCCACTTCCGCCTCTCGGCTGCCGTCGTGACCCGTGAGGGCACGCACGCGCGCAATCACGCGTCCCGATTGGGCGGGTCAGCGACCACGTGACCAGCGCGGTGGCGGTGAGCGTGAGCCCTTCACTGGGGTCTCTCTAAAGTTGCAGAGCGTAACGCCTGGAGCGGTGGGTTTTCCCCCCAGATGCGAGTTAACCTCTGCCTGCCCTAGAGGCATTGCCCTCAGCCCACCTGAGCTGGGGGGGTAAGAGGGCCCCGGCTCCACGAGTTCTCCGGCGTGTTTGCAGCCCAGTTTTACCTTTAGAAAGTGAGGCTTAGATAGATCAAGTCGCTTCTCAAGGGGCCCCGCGAGAGGAGGAACTGGATTGCCAGCTTTCTGACGTAATGGGCGGGCAGCGGGTTAAGCGCCGCGGGTGGACAGATCTGGCTTCTTGTCCTGACCCCATCGCTTCCTTTCACAAATGTTTGCTAAGAGCTGAGGCACTGTTAATGTGCTGGCACACAGGGTGAATAAGATCAACATAGTTCCTGCCCCTAATGGATCAGTTGTGTGACCTTGAACTAATCATTGCATAAAATTGGTATATCCTCATGATAGTTGTGAGAATGAAATTAAATGCAGATAAGACATGGATTCTATAGATCTTAAATTTTTAAAATGTTTTATTGTGAATTATGTGATAGTTTATATGGGAGAACATTAGCTTTACATTCATCCTATCATATCGTTTTATTGCCATAGTTACAATCCACTCCATGCATCATCAATCAACCAAAGGGTATGCGCTGCAAGCCTGCC